AGATTTCTTCAGAGAGTGCAGTTATAGACAGTGGCAGCGCTGTGATAAGTCCGATGGGTCAGACAGTTTAACAGACTTAGCAACAGTAACTAAGGGGGTTGTTGCTTAGCAAAGGGTCAATTTGCCAAGAATAAGAAGAAAAAAACAAGGAAGAAGACTGCCATCGTCATTTTGTTTAATTGAACAAAGGCCGTGTTTGATGTGAGATAACATTACCCTGAAATTCATGCACTGCACAAGTAAGTACATAGTGTACACAGTGTACTACATGTTAGTTTACTAATGGAAGAATCCTAATTGAGACACAGCTATAGTTCTTTGCAGGAAACCTTTAAGAACTTAACAGGGAAAAATGAGTCTGAAGTAAAGTTAAGTTACTCCAATACTGTCGTAAAGCAGTCGACAAACTCATCAGTTGTTTCAGTTCTAGTCACATGATCTACAGTATATTGTCATACCGCCCTTCACATATTGCATGAATACTCTACAAGTATTGAGGTGCACAAGTTTGTCTTGATGGGAACATAGGTGGAGGAGACAGGTGTTCTCCATACCTACAACCCACAGTCTGTCTGTGATGACATCTCTATTTCAAACATTAAGACAATCAGGTAGAGAAAGGTGGAGATAAAATAGTTTAGTCACGATCAAGCATTCCCTCCACGGAGGTCTGCTGAATCCCGCAGAATGGAGCGAAGCTAAACTGTCCCAATCACACTGATGTGGGCTTAACGAGCAGCTTTAAATTCGTCTGCCAATCATGGCACCTTAAGACCCTCAATCCTCAACCTGAAGGACTTTACCTGCACGTATCTGGGGGTAACTACATCAAAAGTTGATGGCAGCGGGGCCTACAGTGGCTCATTGGTATGAGCATAGGTGTCTGTTCAGCTACAATAAGTCCCAGCAAGTTCATTAAGCAGCATGAGGGGAGAAGGACGAACAGTGGTGCAGATAGACTGCCTTGATCAATGTAGATGAATGTTCTGCACTGCTGCATGAGGGGCTACAGGGATAAAGTCTGAAGTGAATTAATGTATGTGCACTAAGGGTGTGCATGTACGTGTGGGTGTAAAGAGAAAGAGGAAATATGGAAACTTCAATTGAAGAAGTCAAGAGTGTATGAGGAAGGAATGGATATAGAAAGTATGAATCTCAAAGTTATCTGTGTAAAGCTCCATGAATAAAAAGAAACAAGTTTGAAATTTCAATCAGTAAAAGTGACAGGCTAGAACACATAACATATAGAAGATATGTCTCCTTCAAGTAAGTGTACCATTTTTTTTAACCATTCCAGGCTGTACTTCCTGCCATAACGGCTATAAATATGCATTCTGGACTGCCGCTGAGATGTCGGTCAGGTACTGTTCTCGGATCTGATAAGCACAGTTCCACCAACAGCCAGAAAACACAATAGAGATAGCAGACTGCAGACACAACCTGATTCCTATTCGTCATCTAGATGACAAGGACAGGTGCTGTGATGATGTGTGGGGAGGAACTTCACTCATTTTAGGTAGATAGTAAGAAACAAAGATAGAGGGAGGAAAGAGAAGCACCTGTTCTGTCTGTCTCCCAACCTGCCTGACTATGTCCCAAGGCACTATCATCTCCCTAAATAAGAACACCTTGGAAAATGAAGGAGGGTGCTGGGGGAGCAGGGATGCTGCTAGAAGAAATTAACATATCTGAAAGAGTCTATTGTTTCAGAGAGAAAGCTGCTTCACCAAATTGAAACATGTACACAAAACACCAGTGAAAGAGAATATGTGTGTATGTGTGTGTGGGGGGGGAACGATTCACAAAGCAACAGAGGAAGTATCCATCTTTAATATACTTGATTTGTGTTGGAAAATCTCAAAGACAGATGCTTGAATATCATTTGAATGCATTTGGGTGCTGACTGGCCTGGCAGGCGAGCAGGCTGGCACTTGTTGGTAGCCAAGCTGTCCCCATCCTGATCATTACGTTGTTTCATTCCACTCTGTCAGCCTGCTCCATTGTCAATCTGTTATTTTTTATTGTATTTTCTTTCTTTTTTTTAAACAAACACTTTATTTTTGTTTGTCTAGTCGCCTTCTCCCCCAGAGGAAAAATGTGCTTAAGGAAGCAGTATTGGGATGTAGAGATTAATATACGTGTAGCCAGCAGAGTCTAGCAGTTGTCTTTGCAAGAGTAATAGAACAATTCCGTAAGGACAAAGACAATATGACAGTGTGTGAAAGAGAAAACATCTTCAGAGAGAATGATAGATCACAATACATATGAATAATGACACACTGAGAGCCTGCCACACAATTTTTTAAAATTCAAATAACTTTGTTTTCTTTAAAAGGACAGGCATGTGCTGAATGGATCAAAATGATACCAAAAGTAAGCATAACAAAGAAAGCTGTGCATAACCGTAAGTAGATCTGAAAGTTACATACAGTGTAACATGCAATTGCCTCTCTTGATCTTGGCTATAGAACAGATGTAAGAAATAATTTGAAGCTTTGACTGGCAGAAAAAGTCTTTCCCTCAAGGCTTCAATGTCATATTAGATGCCTAAGCATAAGATTATTGTTGCGGTGAATTCATTTTTGAATATTGGATTGTTACATCAATAAGCAATAGAAGGTTATCAGGGGCCTGGGCCTGGGCACCATCTTGGTAACAGGTTTGCTGGTTCAGCAACAACAGAGTGAGGATTTGACAGCAGGGAAAATACTGCAAACAAAAACATCTGCTATTATTCAATTCCCAGTTGTGGCATATCTTGACCTGATGAAAGGAGAAATGAATAAATCATGCTCCATTAAATGTCATTAGGCCTGTTAGCAAAATCTAATTCTACTAAAGTTCAGCGCCGGTTTACAAATTGAATGTAATTGCCCAGAATGCAAATGGACTGTGCTGTTGTTTGTGTGAATGTGAGACCAAGCGAGAGAAGAGTGCGAGAGGGAGAGAGAAACACAAAGAAAAACAAAATGTGCGAGCGGAAGAAAACCTTTAAGCGGCAGCATAATGGGCAACACTTTCCACAGTTTTCTTACAGTTTTTATTCAGAAGTCTCAGGGGCTAGCACGCCGGGGAATCGTCGATTGTCAAAGCTTTAAAAACTGATGGTTTCATTTCAGGAAAAAAAGAGGAGATGTGGGGGAAATGTAATTACCCAGCGAGTGCTGTGTGGGAGTTTTACTGTTTGATAATTATCCCTTAAAGGCATGCTAAACTTTTCCTTAGCTATCTGTTTAAAACTCCACAGAGACAGAGAAGTACGAGAGAGGTCACCCAGCTTTGGGAGGAAACGCAGGAGAGAATGAGAGGAGATAAATGTGAAGGAGAGTAAGGATCAGATAAGTGCAAACTTGTTGGGTGCTGATAATACAAAAGCAAGAGAGAATAGGAAATAAAACAATACATCACACAGCAGCACATCTTAGAAGACAAGTTATTGCCTTGCTAAGTCACAAAAATGTATCGACTTGTAATGGGTTCCATAAAAGTAAATGTTGAATTTCCGTGGAAACTGCTTGTCTTTTTTGGGATGAGGCATCAAAGCATGCAACATTTAAGAAATGGATGACTGAAACATTTTATAGGCCACTTTTCATTTCACCAGCTCTCTTTACCATGCCATCTGTCTCTTTTATAGATACACAGCACACACACATGCACACCATACACAGATACTGTATTTACTGCAGCTCTGCCTTTGCTTCACACCCACAAACAGGATTGCAAGCACACACACACACACACACACACGGTAAGCCCAATCTGCGTGCACAGATACTGTATTTACAAAATGACTGCCTTGTCCATAGAATCCTCCAGTATGAACCAGTAATTCGAAAGCCTGACATTATGGCATGGCTGAGAACAGAAAAACATTTGACAAAAGGATAACATTAAAATCCAAATGAAAACACACATGAAAAAAAACAGTCAGGTCTGTTTACCCCAGACTCTCCCTGCACTTCCCTGCTCTGAAACTCAAACTGGAGACTTTCCAAAAGCGGTGAAAACACGATCAGAATATATTTCAGCTAAAAAAAAAAAAGACAGAAAATCAAGTGCAAACATCCATGATAAGCACAAGGTCTCTCTTCATGGGCTTAAAGGAATGTCACATTAACCTGAAGCAACTAGTTTCATGTCACACCAAAGATTTTCACCATTTTTATGTGGCTAATTAAGTTTTTTTGCTGCCCCTGCCCACAGTAGTGCATTGCTCTGCTTCCCTACCAGGACTTCTGTCTGCTTCTCCAAACTTGAGGTGCACTGACCGCCGTCTTCTGTAAGTATGGACTATGGATAAATACCTCAAACCTCACTTTAAAATACCAAAACTATCCCTTTAACTTCATTATCACTTTATTCATCTTGGTGATGCATTCATTCTAATTAATGAAGGATTGCCTGGTGCCATGTATATGAGTGGAGGTGGTTGAGGGAGCATCCTAGGTGCACACAAATGCACATCCATACATAGAATCACTATGACCATTCAATTCTCCAATTCAGGGACACAGTTTAATTCCAATTCTGAGATGTTATACGTCTTTGACTATAGTTTGTGACTGTGTGCATTATTGTCAGTGTCACTCTGTATGTGTTTCTCCATTTGCTTGCAGGATGGTGGTTCTATTACGCCAGAGAGCCAATTAGCGTCTCTCAGTTTGACACCCGTCTCGTCAGGACCAGCATGCTCACACATGTTAATTGTGGTCTTTAACGGCCACTGAGGTTTCAGCTGCCTCATTACAGCAAGAACATGCAACTAACAACCAGGGGGATGATGTGGCAAAATCTCAGAACCACCCACCCACTCCCCTGTCACTATCTCTCAGTCACTTCTTCCCTCCTTCCTTCATGCTCAGAGTTAGTTAGTAAGTAACGACCCTAAGGAATGAACTTCCAGTGAAAGCTGATCCATCTTAATGAAGCCACCCCTTAGAAAACTAATGTGCTCTGGTCATTTGGAATTTTTTTTGAAGAAACATGAAATTTCAAAGCAGCAGTCAGGAAGTGTTTATCAATATTCTCCACAGAAATACTGTATATATTGTGTAACATTGACACATCTTGGAGATCTTGGTTAGAAACAAAAGATCAAGTTGTGCTGATAGCTATGCCCAATATTGGTAGGAAACACATGCAACATCAGCAAAATACTTGAGTGAGCACAGGGGCACTTGGGAGAAACATATGTTGGGGAAGCAAAGGCAACAATGAAAAGACTTTAATAAAAGGGAGAAACAAATAGTAAAAAAAAAGTACATCTGTGGAAGTTGGCAGGAAAAACAGGAAGACAAGCAATGAAAAGGAGATAACCTGATGTTGTTGATGGACTGAAAAAGTCTACAAATGGAAGTAAAATTAGAATTCAGAAAATAAGGTACCGCCATAAAAGAAAAAGTGTTCAGAATTCAAATAAGATGAAATAAAGTGAAGAAAATCTTAAATCTACAGTGAGATCATTTTCTTGCCCATCCATTTCCAAGTCAGCTACACTTCAAGTCTGTAAAAAGGGTAGAACAGAACCATTTGGTGTCCAAACGTTTGTTGCTTGGGCGGCATATAAAATGTAGTGCTTGCTTATTACATATGTGCCATTAGAGCTACAAAAGATTCATGGTCTGAACATTGGCCTGAAGTATTGAAAAGGTTGGTCATAGTTGTTTCAGAGTGGCCGCTTCCCTTTGACATGGACTAAGTAATCTACATTTTTCAGATGAGAAAAAATGTCTCATGGTCTACTATTTCTGACGGCATCACACTCAACCTGTAAGCCCCTCCAGTGCATATTAGAGGTGACGATCTGACAAAGCCAGACGGACAACATCATCAGCAAACAAGAGAGATGCCACCATAATGTCATCCAACTGGACTATCCAGACCTCTGCAGCATTTTGATATCTTGTGCATAAACATGCAAACATGAAAGGTGATAAGGGGCACACCCTTGTCAGAGTACAGTGCCCACATTCACCGTGCTTGACTTTTATGCCAGATGCAGCACTTATTCAGAGTGTACAGCAAATGCATGGGACACCACAGCAATCCCTACACCTTGTACTCATGTAGCACCTCCTCAGGGACCACTGTCATAAGACACAAAACTCATGTAGATTCATGTTTCATAATATTCCATGCTGATGTGAGCGGATTAAAGTTTCCTGAAAAGAATCATACTTTTCACATTTGTTTGACAATAACAAGCATGATTTGAAGATTAAATTGGATGGAAAAAAATTTAGGAATTTGATTGAAAATACATTTTTAGAATGATTTTGAAGGGATACCTGATAGAACATCAAACTCTGTCCATTGAAGGAGAGAAAGAGAGAAGCAAAGGGAGACGTGGAGAAAGAGAGAAAGTCCTAGTCCTAGAGCACTGAGGGGAAGGTCAGAGAAATGCAGGCAGATGTTAGAAGATGTCCCAGACGTATTCTCGTTGCTGCAGTGTGTTATTCTCTCACACCTAGTAGAGAGGGAGAGAGAGAGAGAGACCACAACAACAACCGATTCAGAATCAAAAAACACTCAGAGGCAGAGCTCAGCTATCAATGAAATGCATGCATTTATGTTTATTTGGCTTTCAGGTGTAAACACGTTTCCATATATGTATATATATATATATATATATATATGGGCACATACTTGGTTATTCACACAAACACAGACACCAAAAGCTGCCTCACTTGCATTGCGTAATCTCCCTGTCATTGCCCAACTTGCTGTATTCCTGGACAAGTCAAGGAACGTTGCGAGGATAGCATAAAGACATTTGTTGCTGTATCCTTTCACTTTGCTGCTTATAATACAGGACGCGTCTCTCTCTGCCTCCAGACAACCTACACACACACACACACACACACACACACCTGCAATAGCTATGTCAGTCCACCCAAGGACACTCAGCATGTCAGCTCTGATTAAGCCTCCACTCAGCCTGTACAATGGAGTTCCTGGGTGGAGGGAGAGATGCGGGGGAAAAGAAACGACTTGTGTCCAGTAATAAATCGCTGCAGGCAGCCGGGCTCTTCAGAGCCATGGCCCAGCCGACCCCCAACAGATGCCGGCTGGTTTGGCCTGCCAGTTGCGTCCCGGCCTGTGAGCCAGCACCATCATGAGCGATGGCAGCGGTCCAAAGCGGGGGTCTGCCACCACAGGCGCAGGTGTAGACATCGTTAACATCCAATAAGAAGATAGCGGAGCCTGGCGGGTGGGGCAAAGTGATATTGATGGAGGCCTGTCTGCAGTTGCTTGGTTCACTAAGCAAATATGAGAATAAATATGGCCTTTTCAATAGCACGCACCTTTCATTTATATTAACCAACAGCCTCAATGGTGCACAAGAGTATCCATTAACAGCGGTCACTACGGGTTGACAACCGCCGTCTGTTTGTAGTTTTATTTGTGGCTGTTTTGACTGTTTTACAACTCTCCTGTCCTCTTTCAAATGACGTAGCCTGTATATGCAAAGCATAATCCAATATATTCCGCTCCTGCCAAGTCAGCAAAGTCAATTATGTTGGTTGTTTATTTGGAAGTTGGAAGATTATGTGACCATTTGCCAAGATAGAGACATGATCAGCTGCAAATTAATCCTGTGAGGATTCATATTGATTTGGCACGCGCTTTTTTCCTCCTCATTGTGCTGGTATTGCCAGGAAATTGAGTAGTCGTGTGAAAAACAAGAGCATCTGAGACAAAACAGCAAAGGATAAACAAGGCTGGACTAAATGATTTGGTGGCTGGCCATCCATCCATCTATGAATTAGCTTCTCTAGGCATCTAACCTTGTCCAACATCAACTCAGTTCTACAAATGCAGTCTCTTCCTTGTGTTTAAATAATCCTATCACATGTTCCAGTCGGACACAAAGCCTCCCTATGCAGCTGCCCAGTTCTCCACCCAGGCCCAACCCCATGATTTTAGGCGCCTTTAGACCAGTGACAGACAAGCTGGGTGCCTCACAGGTTAAAGCTTCCTGGAATTCATATGAGCAGCGGACAGCGGGGAGATTCTATTCGTGGGTTCAGGCTCCTAGGTCAGTAATGATATTGTGTCCAGAGGCAGAACACCCTCAGATGAGTAGTGTCTGAGCTGGATCTGAGCATGAATCAGGCAAGTGGGAGTGGATATTTTCTCCTCATGGCAGAGCATTCGCATTTCTGACGATTCTCCTGAATCACCACGATGATCCACACCAGCGGTCTATCTGTGCCTCAACAGAAGCCTCCTGTGGTGCTGAGGACTCTCTCCCATGAGCAGTTTGTCTATTGAGGGGATTTCCCTTAATCTACTGTGTTTGAAGATAGCATTGTTGCTGCCACTGACTTCAGGTCAGTGGGTATGTGATTTAGGTGCCCTGTTTGTCTACTTGAGCTGTCTGTTCGTTTTAAAAGCAAAGAGGTCATATGCTTCAGCTAAAGCCCTTGTTTCTAAAGTACATAAGAACATCCCATTTTCTTTTTCTTCTTTGTGTGCCATCATCTTGGAGTGGTTCCTTCTCTTCTTAAGAAAGCTTGGCCTGGGTTGAAAAGTGTGTTATCTGGGCCTAAAGGCCAGAGTGACCTGGTAATGTTGGGCAAAACAAATAAAATTAACTTAAATTTTAGGCCCAGGATAGTGCAGCAGAATGCTTTTTTTAGCTTCATGTGGGATGGAGGCGAATCTGGATTGCTTAATGTGTGCTCTGGCAAGTCTTTTCAGATGCTCATAGCAGGTGTCTGTTATGGTTATGGGCTCATTGCAAAAACAGCTACACAGTCATTGACTGTGTTAAGGTATTTCATGCACCTTTGGGTCAGCAGGCTTGGATCATCCAGGAACCATTCCCAGACATTTCACCAAGAGTAGCAGATCGAAGTAGCGGTGCATGTTATCACTCTCTCCCACCTGTGGCTATGCTGGTAGGTTGCTGTGGGTGGAGGACGCTATCTCACCAGTTTCCTTGTTAGAATCAGCCTGCGTGGAATGTGGAGCTCATTTCAGGCACTCATTTTCAAGTTTGAGTTGCTGCCAGGTTCAGGTACAATGACTATATACAGGCAGTGGATGATGTATGTAGTGAGTAACGAGGCTTGTCCTGAGTCCTGCCTAGAATATATGACCCCAAAAGATAACTCATTGGTTTAATGTAAATTAAAGGAAAAAATACAAAGGTATGGATTGCATGCATGGATTGGATGCATAAGTCTGAGGTGATGTCAGAAATATTGCTATTTGCTACATATGTATATCTATAATGCTAGAGTGAATAATGATCTATCAGTATGTCTTTAGATGCCTAAAATAAATACATTTTCACAACAACTGTTCTTTAATTGATAAATGGAGCAGCAGCAGTATTTTGCTTGAATGCACTGAAAAAAAACTTCTATGTTACATCTCTGCACATCATACTCTGTCATGCATATGTACTGTCAGTCTTGGGTGCTCTTATTTTCCCTCTTCTGTTTGCTGTATTTTTCTATTCATTAGCACTTGTACACAAAGACTGTGCTGCCATCTTTGCTCTCCTTGCAAATTATTTCATCCCTCCCCCGGCGGTGCGTGGTAGCACGCTGAGCCCCCGGTGAGTCTGGGAGCAACTTATTAAGTTTGCTACAAGGTTCCACCGTAGACCTCATTAGCCATTCACGATCACCTTGTGGCCTCACATCACTGTACACGTTAATGTTACATGACTGAGGTTGCCGCTCGGTTTCTCGCCAATTCCTTTCTGCTGTTTTGGGACATACTTGGCCCTCGCTATATTGATACTGCAATACTAATGAGCAAGCATTAGCTGTCATATTTTCATTCAAGAACCTATAAACCTTGGCGTAAGGACACAGGGAAAACACCTTGAGTGTTCTGGAGATAATACTAATTAGTTTGTGAGAAACAAATCATTTCAGAACAAAACATCAAATAACTAAACATTCACTTTGATTATGAGGCATTTGTTTATACAGTCCAAAAAAAAATGTTTTTGTGTCACCCATGATCAATGTGCAGGAAAGGGCAGGTAGGCCCAAGCATTACATTTCAGAGGGACACATGTCAACAAAAGCCTGCATAACCATTGTGTGTATGATGAATGTGAATAGACCCTAATGTGGTTGCTAGTTCATGTGCACACGTGGATAAATTATTTTTGAGGAGCTAATCTCTGATGGCTTTTTAATTAAAAGGATTATTAAAAAGCACCATCATGACACAAGACATGAGGAACTGCGATTGACTGTAATTAATTAATATTCCATAGCATTTTCTGGCATGCAGCCACTGCCCACACCACTGTTTGTTGAAGTCTGTATCCCTGATGTTCACAGTCTAGGATCAATTATGATGCTAATTTCACAAACACATACAACATTGCAACTTCAAAGAATAGTAGGTTAATGTTTACATCTACCATATCTGCAGTTACACATGTACTTCACGCATCCTAATCGATTTGTCTCATTCAAATTAAATAACAACAGTAGTGTATAGATGTTGCTGGAGGGCCTGATAAATCACTGGTTGAAATTTCAAGAGCATCTGCATTTTTTGTGTTTGGAGGTGGTGAGGCTGGCAGGCACACGCTGAGAAGGATGAATAATGACGCCGAAACGAGAGGTGGAGGAAGTAAACACAGTTGGCTGTTGTTTCTATTGGACATTTCACCCTGGGGCTGCCGTCACCTTCTCCTAAAATTTATTATGGCCTGTCTGTACCTCCTGCCGCAAAAGCCAAGTAATTCTAAACTGAGAGGCAACAGAAACTGTTCTTTGGATTCCTTACCTCCTGTTTTCCTTTCCTCTC